CATTGACTTGGGCAGGATCCACATTGCAGAGGTAATCCGGTTTGATACCGTTTTAACTGCCATGGCTCACTGCTATGGAGCCTGGTGACTGGGTTCCCTGCTCTCAGAGGTGCGTGGCTTGGTTGTAGTTCCTTAGGAGTGAAGGAAACCGTTTATTTCTTCCATTTACATAAAACAGCGTGGTGTAGTGGTTTAAGCGTTGGACTAATAGAGACCAGGGTTCGAATCCTCGATCAGCCATGGAAACCTGCTTATGACCTTGGGCAAGTCACATTCTCTCAGCCTGAGAGGAAGGAAAAGGCAACCTCCCCCTGAATAAATCTTGCCAAGAAAACCCCGTGACAGGGTCGCCATAAGTCGGACACTATCGGAAGGCACACAACAGAAGCAACAACAACAAAGCCCCAGGGAGTACAAAGGCTGTCGTGACACCACAGCCCTGCGAGGTAGGCCAGTCTGAGAGAAAGAGAGTGGCCGCTGTCTCCGTCCATCCAGAGGGTTTTGGGGCTGAGCTCCCTGGTCGCAGCAGCCCCATTGCCAGGGACCCTCCGCGGGTGCTTAGCCTCTCTGGCTTCACTAGGGCGACTTCACGGATCCCTTCCACACAAGGCTGTAAATTCCCTTTTTCTCGAAGCGGGATCGGAATTATAAGGGCTAGAGGCAACACTGGAGAGAAAGCTTAGAATCACAGAAGATTCTAAGAAATTCATAGAAATCATGGAAGAGACTCCCAAGGGCCACCCAGACCAACCCCATTCTGCCATGCAGGAACTCGCAATCAAAGCACCCCACCACCACCCCGACAGATGGCCATCCAGCCTCTGTCTAAAAACCTCCGAAGAAGGAGACTCCGCCACTCTCTGAGGGAACGTATTACATTGTCAAACAGTTCTTACTGTCAGGAAGTTCCTCCTAATGTTGTGCTGGAATTTCTTTTCCTGTAGTTTGAATCCACTGCTCTATGTCCTATTCTCTGGAGCAGCAGAAAACAAGCTTACTCCATCCTCAATATTACATCCCTTGAAATATTTAAACATGGCTATCATGTCGCCTCTTAACTTTTTCTTCTCCAGGCTAAACATACCCAGTTCCCTAAGTCTCTCTTCATAGGGCATGGTTTCCAGACCCTTCACCATTTTATTTGCCCTCCTCTGGACACACTCCAGCTTCTCAGCATTCCTTTTGAATTGTGGTTCCCAGAACTGGACACAATATTCCAGGTGAGGCCTGACCAAAGCAGAATAGAGTGGCACTATTACTTCCCTCGATCTAGACACTATACTTCTATTGATGCTACCTAGAATCGCATTGGCCTTTTTAGTTGCTGCATCACACTGCTGAGTCATGTCAGATTTGTGGTCTAATAAGATTCCTTGATCCCTTTCACATGTACCGTTGTCAAGGCGAGTGTCCTCCTCCTCCCCATCCTCTCTCGTTCCTGCAACCCAACTGGAAGGGTGAGACCTGCCCTGGGGGGGGGGGAGGAATTCCCTTTCCAAGCCTAAAAACGCCGGGTCATGCCTCGACTCCCATCCCCAGCAGCACCCAGGATAATGCTGCCGGCGAAATGGGTGCAATTAAAGCATGATGGGCCCCATCTAGAAGAAGGAGGGGGGGCAGAAGGGGATTATAACCCACCCGTCTTTGGGACTGAGGGAGTAGATCGCTGATCCCTTGGACTCCTCTTCGATCCCATTTTCTAAGGCTGTTTTTTTCCTTCTCAAGAGGCAGGAGGGGAAAAGAAATAAACCAGGCATCGGACCTCTTGGTGGTGGTGGTGGTGGTGGTGATGCAGCAACTAAAAAGGCCAATGCGATTATAGGTTACATCAATAGAAGTTCCACATTTCTTTGGTGTGGGAAATCATCCCACACTAGGAGCCCCCAGGCTTCT